CTCACCTGGTCAAACCACACTGGCACCCTTGTAAAGAGGGCCCAGCAGCGTATGCACTTTCTGCGCCGGATGAGGAGAGTGCACCTACCCGCTCCCATTCTCACCACCTTCTACAGAGAAACTATGCCATAAGACTGCTTAACACCCTTCTCTCACCCTCCTCACCCACACACCTACACAGGACTGCCCCACCAGGATTTATTTCTTATTTATCATTTTTTATCTTATTTGTATTATATACAAAAGTTTCTATTACATAGGCAACTACACTGTGAAATATATTTTATCTAACTGGTCTTTTTATATTTGCATATATATATATTTATTTTGTACATACTGCCTCACCCTTTATTCCTGCTGTGCCATGTGCCATATTGCAACGACATTTCATTTTGACACTACATTTCCCAGCAGCATGTGTATTGATTGGTCGTCACACTCCGCACCAAATCTCGCGGTATGTGCGACTTGACCCTGCCCTATGTCTCGCGCACTCGCAGCTCCATCGCTCAGTATATAAAGCAGGACAACGACGGAAGGAGGACGGCTGGGGAGTCGCAGCCCGGGATTGTAAATAAGACCGCTAAAACTGTGTTTTATTTACAAAAGTGATGCCGGCTGTTTTAAAATATCGTACCCAGTTGTTTTAAGTCGTTTTTCGTAATTTTTGGCTCTGTTTCTCGCCTATTTCCGTGTGGTTTTTACACTACGCGTATAATGGCGAGCTCGGCTAACTCGAACCCAGTGGTAAGGATCAATCTCTAAGGATTGTCAAGCGGGGAAAATGGGGGTAAAGATGATGAAAAGCTGTCGACGAGCTGCTATTATTTATTTCAGTTAAATGAATCTGCTTTAACAAACACTTCACTGTTCTATCAAATAAAAATTTAACTTAAGTTCAGTCAATCGGCCATTTTAATCAGTTTTCGAAACTGGATTGTTCTTTGAGGGGAAACCTGGTAGAATCAATGGCTAACGGTAGAGCAGTTGGGTTACAAATCATTACACAGGTTAAAATAGTGATGAAAATGCAGTTTTTCAGTTGTAAGTTTTGGGCTGTTTGTCAGGTTGAAGCTTTCAGCCGTTGGCCGTTAGTTGGTTCATGGTAATGTCTCAGAGGCTTCAGGCTTTTTGTGTATCGATAAATTCATCTAAAATAATGGATTATCGGTATTTGTTAGGGTTTTTTTTTTTGTTGCTCTTACTTGAGTTAACGGTCAAACCATTGCTTGTGTCGAGGACTCGGTTATAAAGAGACAAATGGTAAATACAAGCTGAATAGTTTCGTTTACATAATTTATATAAATGCAGATGTACGCAAAGCACCTCGCCACTATCCACTGCGAATGAATTAATCTTATAATTTCTTTAAATGAAAAATTAAAGTCTCTTTAGCCGAAAGTCGTCAACGCTCAGTCTCTAATGCCTCATCATTGTCCACCATTCCACGACCAGAAGGCAGGATAGCCGTCCCAAGCCACCACTTTTACCCATCTCATGACAATTTTGTCCTTCTCCCCACCGACAAGGCCATATTACTTAGTCAAAACTGAGCACTCATAAGATATTAAACCGAAAATATCCTTCACATTCCGCCACATAATGTACAATGTACGGGACTTGTCGAGCGCGCAGTTTGCCGCTCCGTAAAATGGCTTCCACGTCTCCCCTCGCTCCGGTTCTGGCCCTCCTCCTTTCTGCTGCCTGGTTTTATACAGCCATATTGGCTCTCTAATATAGACTGCCCGGGATGGGAAGGTGCTACTCGACGCTACGTCACCGGCTCTACATATAAACACCAGACTGTGCTTTAAATAGTGGAGCAGACAGGCCGAGGGGGAGGGAAGGAGAGACCGAGGTCCGTGCTGCGGACATTGGGGACAGTGCAGTGAGCGCAGTGCGGTCGCCTGCCCGTCGGTCGCTATTAGGTTTACATTGTAGCAGCTTTCCCTTGCCGCTGACCATTGTGTCGTGGTGGACCTTTTAAACGGGTTGCAGTTGTTTTTGTCGTGCGCCATACATGCCACGGTATCCCGAGGGACATTATATTTGACCTTATTGGTCGTGACAGACAGACGTATATAGACCCAGGTTCACACGGATTAGCATAAGAAGCCACGCAGTGCGGTGTATAGACTATAGCAGGGATTATTGAGCATGGAGCAGTTTCAGAGTTGAGCTACCTACAGCAGCTGTACACCGGATATTACCATATTATACTCATTTATTCTCGTTTGGCAAGGCCGAACTGAATGTATTGTAACATGTTCTGTTATACATGCTGTTACAGCAGCTGTGAGGCACTGTTAGTAACTGATGTCTTTCTATTAAACGTGTCTGAATACCACACCATTATTTGTTAGTAAAAGTAAGTCCCAGCTGTTAAACATTGATTATACCAGATATATGTGGGCTTTTGTTTTATTTTATTTAGTTTTTTTTTTAAACAAGAGTCTAATGGTATTCTCTGTCAAACACTAATGAAAATGTGTTTTCTTTCCCTTTTTCCGTGCTTGCTTCCTCATAGCCTAAACTATATAAGTCTGTGATTGAGGATGTGATCAACGAGGTGCGGGAGCTGTTCCTGGACGAGGGGGTGGATGAGCAAGTGCTTCTGGAGCTGAAAACGGTAACTGTCCCCAGCTTTCCTGTTCTCCTGTACACCCACTATAGGGGAACTGTAACTTGTGCAGTAGTGTGTCGAGGTGTGATTCATCCTCTATTTCGATGTAGTGTAGGAACTGGTATCAGGCTGTCAGCTACTCATTTCAGAAATTCCCCCAGACAGTAATGAAGTACATCTCTGTGAGAATGCCCTGGATGGATTTATTGTCTTATTGATAGTGGTACCTCAAAAACTATTATTAAAACTGGCAAATCCTCATGCTGGAACAATATCAAACCAAGTCTAAAATATCTGCAGCAAGTACTGGTTGCTCACTGCTTCACATTTGATAAACGGCGTCTCTCTACCTCTCTGTCTTCGGCCTGGTGCTTCAGCTGTGGGAAAACAAACTGTTGCAGTCGAAGGCAGTGGAGGGCTTCCATACTGAGGAGCAGGCAGCCCTGCAGGCCGCGCAGCAGCAGCAGCAGCAGCAACAGCAACAGCAGCAGCAGGTTCAGCAGGTCCAACAAGTCCAGCAGGTGACCCAGCCAGCACAGACCCAGCAAGTGATCCTGCCCCCTCAGCAGCAGCAAGGTTGGTTGGCACTGGGACTACCACACCGTGGTGCTAAAGAACGACTAAAAATCTGAAATGTGACTGCCTTTTCCACAGATCATAAAAATGTCAATTTCAACAAGCGATATATAGCCTTGGTTTGTTTTCACACTGAAAATTATTAAGGGACTTTCTTGTTAATATGCATAACTACCACATTTTAAGAGCCAATAGTAGCTTAAGTGACATGACCAAATATTCTCTGTTTAAGCTTTTAAGCTTATTGGTTTTGGCACACGATGGTATGACTTCAACATGTTTCTCTCTACAGCTCCCCAGCAGCAAGTCATTGTTCAGGACTCCAAGATTCTACAGCACATGAGTGCAACAGGGATGGTAAGTTGATAATGTACATATAAAATGAATATACAGCTATAGTTTGAGGTTTTGTGCTCATGAGAAAAAAAAAAAACAATAGGTGCAATGCCACAATCACCGACCTCCACTGTATACACATTTGCAGTATACTCATAATTAAATTACATTTCATGTGTTCTGCTGTTGTTCACACTGCTACCGTATATAGCTCTCTGAGCAAACATACTGCCACCACACACGTGTTCATTTAGTGGTTTTCACACCAGGTCATACAGTGCGAGCAGTTCTTCTACATAACTCAAAACAGAAACTACTACAGAAAAACACACTAGTTTTTAAACTACAGGTAGTGTACCTGGTAAAGTGTGCACCCCATACACTAAGGCTGGAGTCCTTACGGCTGCAGATCTTTGCTGCATGTCATCCCCTCCTCTCCTCCCCATTCTTATCTCTCAAGCTGTCCCTGTCATAAATAAAAGGCATTAAGGCCAAAAAGCCTGAACCAGTACTAACAGTCACAAACATGCCTTTTTGCCTGTGAGAAAAGGCCAAACTTAATGCCTGCATCATTTTGTTAGACTGAGATTTCAACCCCAAAAACGTACAAGGTTAGTTTAATATGTTTTCATTGAGACAGAGAGAGAGAGAGGGAGAGAGAGACTGGAATTAAGTTATTTTCCACAAGCATGGTTGGTAGGGAGCTACAAAGAAGCTTTTTCCTCAGAGCAGGAAGGCCGGTCTGGTAACAAACAGATAGAAGGGCGGGTGGGAAAATGGACATGGAAAACATGACAGTAGAGGAGAGGAAGGTCCTTCAGAGAGTTGATCAGTAGCCTGGATTACAGCGCAGATAAAGCTGAAGATAGTACATCCTCTAACATGCTCCTGTTGTGCCTCACACACACTGACAATCAACACCCTTTCCTTCTTCAGTCTTTAATTCACACAATGGGCTGTCAGCACTTCCCTTC